GCTCTCCCGAGCAGCTGCCGTCCGAGAGCCCGACGTTCCTCCCGGGCCTGATTCTGCATCCCTTAAAATCGACTTCTGCGAGAAGCGCGCCCCCCGGTGGCCACCCGCGACCTCTGCGCCAGACTCCGCTCGGCAGGACCGCTTTCAGGGACTGGCGCCGCTCCTTTTCCACACTGGCCACCTTCGCGGGGGCTAGGAGGGTGCCTTGCCCTCCTTAGCCAGGTCTGTCGACCCAAGGCCGCCGCCGCTCCAAGAGCTACCCGCCTCTGAGCACGTGCGAAGTGCCCTTCCGTCAGCACTGAGCAACTGAGGTTCATTCCATCGTCAGAGCAAGGAAGCCCCAGCACCTCCAGTCAGGACTTCTGCGCCACGCCTTCCAAAAACACAACGTACTTGGGATGCTCTGAAAGTGGAGAAAGCTTAGGGGGGGGTAGCCGGCTGCAGGGCCTTCCCTGCAAATGGGGGGCAGCCCCGCCTAGAGAGGAAAGCGGGCTAAGGACAGAGGAACCCAGGTCCTAGGATTGCCAACTCCAGGTTGGAAGTTCCTGGAGATCGGGAGGATGGAGCCTGGAGGGGGGGGTTGGAGGAGGAGAGAGACCTCTGCTGGGCATAATGCCATCGGGTCCACCTTCCAAAGCAGCCATTTTCTCCAGGGAAACAGATCTCTGTGTTCTGGAGATCAGTCGTCATTCCAGGAGATCTCCAAGCCCCACCTGGAGGTTGGCATCCGTACCTGGAGGCTTAGCATTTTATCCTGGCCTCCCGCAGAAGGTACCTCTTTAAACACTCCCTCCCTCGTTCTCTCTCCCCATTTTCTCCTCACAACAACCCTGCAAGGTGGATTTGGCTGACGGGGACCGTCTGAAGGTCACCCGGGGAGATACATGGCTGAGCGGGGATTTGGACCCGGCTCTTCCAAGACCAAATGGCCAGGCGAACGGGAGGTTCGCAGCCCTCCCTCCCCACTGGGGGAAAAAAATCATGGTGGTGCTAATCCAGGCTGAGTAATCTGTTTTCTGACCAGGGAGTAATTTTATCTGCCTGCCTTTGGGAGCCAGGCGGATGTCAGGGGCTCAGGGCCGGGGGTGGGGGTGGCAGAGAGAGGATTTTCCCATTAGCACCCACCACCACCCCTTTGAACACCACTTGCCAAAGAACGTGATACTCCAGGGTCTATGGCACATGCTGGGTTTGCTAATACAGGATTCCCGCCCCCTTTATATGCAGGGCTGTTCCAATTTGGGAGGTTTCTCCCCCCCCCTCCATTGCAAAGGAAGTCTATGAATTAGATTCAGGGGAGTCGCTATGTTGGCCTGAAGCAGCAGGATAACGTTTGAGTCCAATGGCACCTTTAAGGCCAACAAAGTTTTATTCTGGGTATCAGCTTTCTTGTGCATGTGTATCTGAAGAAGTGTGCCTGCCTGCACACGAAAGCTTCTACCCAGAATAAAACTTGGTTGGTCTTAAAAGGTGCCCCTGGAGTCAGACTTGGTTCTCTCTGAAGAAGTGTGCCTACATTGACCTGCACAGGAAAGCTTCTACCCAGAATAAAACTTGGTTGGTCTTGAAGGTGCCCCTGGTCTTGAACGTCTACTCAGGAATTGTTTTAACTGAAAAGAAGGGAACTCAGAGGGCATTTCAAGATCTGGCACTTGTCCCTGGGTCGTTCCAGACAGGATACAGACCTCTTAGAACGCAGAGGATGAGTTTGGGGAACTGAGAAGCTCGCACATTGTCTTGATGCTCTGTAATTGGGTCCTCATCAAATGCAATTCACGGCATTTGCCTTTTAATGCTCTGGTGCTTTTTAATTTTTTTAATCATCTAACAGCCCACCTTGCTCCTTTTCTGATGCCCTGTGCCTCCCCACACGATAGGCAACTTCAAGGGAGGAAACCTATCCCTGCAACTCATTCATTGATCACGTGCGCCGCCTATTGGCTGTTCAGTTAAAGACCCAGAAGTTAATCTACTCCCCCCCCCCCGCGCTCCTTGAAGTCACATTCCCCAATGATCCACCCTAGGCCAGGGCGACCCTCCATCTGTGGTCAATGGTCACCAGGGTCCCGCCTCACTCTCCACAGAAGCTGGCTGGATGAACTGGGACTGGGCAGACTCTCTCAGCCTTAACCTTCCTTGCAGGGTTGTTGCTGCAAAGCAGAAGATGCTTCTTGCTGAGGGTGAAAGAAGAGAGCGCAAAAGTTGGCTTGAAACTTTCCAGCTGGAATTAACAGGCCACCTTGGAAATCATCCGAGTGATGTAGTCACTAGCCAGCCAGATCAGCCAAATCAACCCTGGCGATCAATGGGGTGACCAATGTCGCAGCCAGATCGCCCTCACTTTTTATATTTTATATTGTGATGGCCAATGGCTATATGCAATAAACTTTGGATTGGATTTGATGTAGTCACTAGAGCATTAGGGAGATCCGTGTTCAAATCCCCACTCGGCTATTGAAAGTAGTGACTGTGAGCCAGTTCCTCTCTAACTGCCTACCTCACACGGTTGTTGTGAGGATAAAATAGCAGAGAGGGGAAATCTATGTGCACCACCATGACCTCCCTGGAGGAAGGGTGGGATAGAAGCATGCACCACCATGACCTCCCTGGAGGAAGGGTGGGATAGAAGCATGCACCACCATGACCTCCCTGGAGGAAGGGTGGGATAGAAGCATGCACCACCATGACCTCCCTGGAGGAAGGGTGGGATAGGAGCATGATATACAGCCCCCTCACTAGATTCCCCCACCTCTGAGAGACAGTTTGGTGTAGTGGTTAAGAACACAGACTCTAATCTGAAAGAACCCAGTTTGATTCCCCACTCCTCCATATGCAGCCAGCTAGGTGACCTTGGGTCAGTCACAAGTTCTCTCAGAACTGTTCTCTCAAGAGCAGCTCTCTCAGCCCTACTGACCTCACAGGGTGTCTTTTCTGAATCTCTTCTTCTCTCTTTCTACCAGTTCCCGCCCCCCCAAGGGAAATCTGTTGAGTGTCTTGTCTCTTTAAGATAACCTGTTGACTAGGTATTTTCGGGACCTTTGCAGAAGAACCACGTTCATGCTAAAAAGCAACCAAGTTATGCCGTTGATAAAAAGCAGCATCTGTTTCCCTTTGTTCAAAGGAAAAAAAAACCCTGCTGATACGGTGATATCACTTGAACGCTCCTCCTGGCCACCCACCAGGGGAAGCCGCCTGTCTGGGGACAGCAGCTGCCGGCTTCTTGGTAGCAGCGAAGGACTGAACGAACCGTGAAGGACAGCGGGGGCAAGATCCAAATCAGCAGCCGGTCTGTGCCTCAAGCTGAGGAGGGAAAGGCAGCCTCTGAGCTGGTCCCAGGAGATGGCAGAGCCATCTTCCCTCATTTCTCCCGACGAGAAAGCCCAGGGAAAAGGGGAACAAAGGCCCTTCCGTCTCTCTCCCTGCTAATCCACCAGGTTTACGAGATTAAGCTCTTCTCACCACTTTGGCCTGTCTCTCTACCTGAGGTGGCGTAGAAGAATCTCTGTGTAGCACCTCCGGACACGTGGCTTACTTAGCCAAATGTAAAGCTTGTTTGGAGAGAAATAGTGCAACAAGCGAGTAATAATAACGCAGGATACATGTTGTGTGTATGTGCGAACTGTCTCAGGTTTTGCCATTTGGTGACAGCCCCTCACATTCAGCCTGTGAGGAACCAACACGCTTTGTTTCCATTCCTTCCGGCAGTCCTTTGGAAAACCAGAATATTCCTATAGTCGTTCTGTCATTTCTTCTCAGCATCACCCTTTGATTTTGCTCCCTGGCAACCATGGGAGATGTGTAAGTTTACTTACTTACTTACTTCATTTATACCCCGCATTTACTCTTCAGTAGGTAACGGAGCCAGCATGGTGTAGTGGTTAGGAACGTGGACTCTAATCTGGAGAACTGGGTTCGATTCCCCACTCCTCCACTTAAAGCCAGCTGGGTGACCTTGGGTCAGTCACAGCTCTCTCAGCCCAAAAAATAAAAACCTAGCTCACCACAAAAAGAGCTAGAGTTTCAGGTTGCCAGACAATCTTTGGCTCTCCTGGCTATACTACACCCACTGCCATACGATAATTAATTAATTAATTTAATCCCCAGTAGGTACCCAAAATCGCTCACATCCTTCTCCACTGCTCCATTGTATCCTCACAACAACCCTGTGAGATAGGCTAGGCTGTGAAAGAGCGACTGGTTGAAGGGCAGCCAGTGAGCTTCCTTGCAGAGCGGCAATATGAATCTCCGTCTCTCCAGCTGAACCACTAAATGGAACCTCCACATTCAGAGGCAGTCAACCTCTGAATCCTAGAGCCAGGAGGCAACATCAGGGGAAGGCCTCGGCCTCTATGCCATGCTGCTGGACCTCTAGAACTGGTTGGCCACTGTGTGAGATGGGTTGCTGGACTAGATGGACCCTCACTGGTCTGATCCAGAAGGGCTCTTATGCTCTTATAGTGAACCTCCACATTCAGAGGCAGTCAACCTCTGAATCCTAGAGCCAGGAGGCAACATCAGGGGGAGGCCTCGGCCTCTATGCCATGC